ATTGCCGACATCGACTAACCGGCTTAACCCTATACGTGTGAGTGCTGAAAGCTATTATACATATACCATGAAAAGCTGAGTTGGGATGAAATGGTGCCCCGGTAGCGTAACTGGTAGCGCACTTGCCCGGAAAGCGAGAGGTGCGGGTTCTAGTCCCGCCTGGGGCGAAAGTTTTGTTCACAACCCAGCATTCTTGTGAAACATTCGCAACGCGAACTGCGGCGTTAAAACAGCAGTTAACAAACAAAACAAATAACATGTACGTTTATAACAAATTTACCTTCATCCCTGACCTTCATCAGAATATCGATCAAGCCCCGAGTGAAAGTATCGGTCTTTATGACATCCTTGTGACATTCGATTAGAAACTCGAAGTCATAGGCGATTTCATGGTATAGCGTGGCCATTAACTGAACTAACGAATAAAAAGCAGAAGCCAATCAGAAGAAGAGCCAAAATTAACTCACATTCTGGACATTGACGGCCTGTTCGAAGAGTTTCCGAGGGAAGGGTGTAGGAAGTAGAGCAAAAGGCGCACTTTGGCAAATATCGCTGCGGTCCTTGTGTTCCTTTGTTCTCATAACCAAACCGTGCGCCTAAGAATATATTGGATTTGTTGGTTTAAAGGGCAACCGACTGGTGACCGAAAAAGGTAGATGAACTCACGTGTGCCCAGTCAACGGACGACAGTACGAGTTCATCAACTCGCTCCTGCGGAAGTGGTAACTTTGGGTAATCCGCTAACAAGACACCACCATTCTTTTCGGACACCATTCAATTACTGAAAATTCTTGATCAGAAACTTAGAAATAGAGAAAGTTGAGAATCACAATTGAATACAAGATGGCAAAAAACACAGCGGAGAGATCACAAGAGATATTTCGGAGAGCTTTCGTTTGAGCCATGTAGGCAGCATACAACCAGCTAGGTAAGTTGTTTGTGTGAATGTTTATGGTACAACGATATTCGAAGGAATTCATGAAGACACTTCTCAATAAAAAGAAAAGCGAAACCATCATCTTCACCGTAAGAGGAGAGTAGTATAAGTGAAGAGAACCTTGAAAAAAACGGAAGTAAAAGTGGATGATGGTAGCTAACTACCACATACGAATACCACTTGAAATTGCTCTAAATTCGTCACTCTTGAACGGCGCCCACTGAGCGAGTTCAAGGTTATAGGTCAGGAACCAGATGAGAAAGACCGCGCTCAAGCCAAAGCACAACGAATAATTCCGCGCTCAAACGTCAGAGCTGCGCTCCATTCGCGGAAGTCGTTTCAAAAAAATTCAAGTGCGCTTCACTTCGCGGTTCATCCAGTAATTTGTGTACATTCATTCTCAACCGAACTTGCTTTTCACTTAGAATCTTATGGTGCTAATTTAATAATGTACTCAACTAGGTTGGGTTTTTGATACTCCGATGAATGGTTCGTAACATGGATGAGGAAAGCGGGCGATGTGCGACTTCATTGTGCTGCACTTCCAACGAGGGTCCGTCCAACCTCATTATCTCTTTGAACAAAAGAGAGGTAGGCTTCTTACTCACGTTCCTTATGTATAGATTTTTAGGTGCTACCTTAGTTGGGGGAGGGGGATCACGCGGCTGGGCGCGGGCTCAGTTTTTTGGCCTCAGGCCTAGTCCTTAGGTGATGTTAGTATTTATCCAGCTGACTGCCGGATGCAATTGCGTCAGGCAGGCGCAATTACAGTGCTCTTACGGCCTGTTCCGCTATGTTAGCACCCGTTTTCGATTGGATGGGGACTGCGGGTGAACTCGTGATGAGAGGTAATGATAAAACTAGATGACCTATATCTGGATGTTTGTAGTAGAGGACATCAGATGAAAAAATTCTCCTATTAGCAAAAGTAGGAAGCGAACACTAAACATTACATTTCATGCAAAATGGTTAAAATCGTGGGAACGATTGTCCCACTGAGAAGCGCAGGATACAAGCTTTTGCCTCAACAGAATTGCTATTATTTTAAATCAGTTAGCGGAAAATCCACATTAGAAGGTTAGGCGAATAGAGCGCAGGAAAATGCTCCTTTCCGTTTCCTCCTGTGGTCCCCAGCACTAGCTTAAGAGTGAGGGGGATTTTGCAAGCAATTTCGATTACCTCAAGTTCACCATCTTCCAATGTGGCAGTAGGCGCGGAGAGTTCTTTTGATGCACTACGGAGGTGCTATCTTAGTTGGAGGGGACCACGCGGCGGCGCAGCGCTCTGTTCGTCTGCTACTCCAAAGGCTTAGTCCCAGGGGCAGCTTACTGTTTCGCCATCATGTAACAGTTTCAAAATACGCGCCTTCGGGACTAAGCCTTGCAGGAAGAGACGAAGGGAGCGCCGCGCCACCGCGTGGTCCCCCCCCCCCAACTAAGATGGCACTGTAGCGCAACATCCATTTGAGCCGCGCAAACGTCCTGTAGGGATCTTTTCCAGAATTTGAAGTAGAATAGTTTTGTGGAAGTCTCTCACGGAGAGTGACAATCATGGGGTACCATCTTACAAGAATGGCCAGCACATGTCCTCAAAGGTACAATAATGTTCAGATTTCTATGTCTATGTAAATATCTACAAGTGCTAATAGATCAACTAACAACTCGAAAACGTGGTCGACGTGAGACGTAACTACTAAGCAGTTCATGATGAAAACTATCTCACGAATTAAACTCTCTCTTCCCTCAGGTACCAAGCGAACTTCGTCCCTCGAATCCCTCACTGCACTGCACAATGCATAATGGCATCAATGATTGTTCTAGTGCGAAACATTATAAATACGCTAGCACTTTACACTATGTTTCCATGTCAGGAAGTAAATGACATGAGATATTAGAATGGTTTCCAGGCACCCACATGGTGTTCCACGATATGTAGAGCATTTCTCGGTACCCGTCACCTATCCGGAAGGGAAGTATGGCTCAACCCAGTACAATATTTCGGATCTGTATAGTCCAGTCATGAATTGATTAGTCTTCCCACTACTTCATCATCACCGCCTGTGATAGAGTATACAAATGTCAGCGCCATGAACTAGCCGTAGGTTACGTGTAATCGCTGCTGTACGGGCAACTGCCCGGCGGCAGGGTGGGAGAAATCGTAACATCGTAACTTAGTCCTAGGGGCTAGTTCATTTGCCATGCGGCGGTAATCGAATACCACCCATTAGGGGACTAAGCTTGAACGAGCGACGACAGAGACCGCGTGGTCTCCCAATACTAAGGAGTCTTTCAGGCAGGGTGGTTTTTTCAAACGGTTCTGGTGATATTTTAGCGGAGCATATAGGAACCGCAACCATGTTTTTTCGCCTAACGTGATAGAAGTACCAAAAGAAGCAAAAGTATATTGTTAGAGTTCATCCCGTTTTGGCGTTTTGCGGTGTGGTTCATAGGGAACAGGAAAGCGCTTTTCGCGTGTCGCGCGCGCGAAGCATCTGCAGCAATCCGGGTCAAGATGAATCATGGGTGGACCTAGGTTCCTGCAAGGGAAATGTTTCGCATCACCCCCCGCTGCGAAACGCGAAAGTCGCACTTTCTGTCTAAGTGGCGACTAAATTTTGCATTTGGGTTGGCGCCTACGGTTTGGTGCCAAATCGCGCTAAATATCAAAATCAGATGTCAAATTCATCGTCAGGACCATTTTGAAGCCAACAAGTGGCCGCCAACCTTGATTGCAAAATTTAGTCGCCGCGGGGATTGAACCATCAAGAGTATTATTCACCACTTTTTTGGTACTACTAAAACCGTTCAGCGGAAAACGAAACATGGTTTTGTGGTCCATACTTGTGTCCCTATACAACATGAACTAAACCGTTTCCAAAAAGCGCACCTTGCCCTGAAAGACCTCCCTTGTCAGATAGCACCGATTTTTAGCTCCGACATCGCGTTAGGACGCATTCATAGTCAGTCATCGGATCGTAACGATCGTACAGCGTTAGATACATATCGATCGTGCCTCCTCGGACACGTCTGACGATCGATACGTATCCAATGGTGTGCGATCGTCACGATCGTTACGACTGGGCCACCGACTATGAACGCGCCCTTAGGCTGGTGTCAAAGTCCGCGATCCGTCGCGCGATTCGAGGTTTCATTTCGAGCACTCGGTTTGGATTCAGTAATGCTATCAAGTACGTGTAAATGTGGAAGGAGAATGAGTTTTTTGGCCTCACTACCTGTATGTTTGTGCTCTAATATCTTCAGCCTGGTCTTGAAGAACTATTCCTGTTATCAAAAAACAGCTGGGATTCGCTGTAGTTTTGTCTCCGTACCAATGAGCAGTGTAGGCAATAGGGTTCGACCGTTCACGATTTCGGCACAGACTAATGAATTGGGAACTGGCGTATTCCATTCACATTTGGATTCTAGCATTCTGTATATTCAAAATATCTCAATTTCCCTTAAGGTTTTGTTTTTTAGAACTATGGAAGGAAGCGGGATGTATCAGGAAGGTACCGCGCTGATATTACCTTTTCGAAGTTGGAATGCGTGTCCACCTTTTCACGCTACAATTTCAAGGAGTCGAAATGGGAGGAGTGTATCGTACCTAGAGAACCAAGGTTTGTTTAGCTACTTTGTGTGTGCTGGCGTTATTTTATGCATGCAATTACTGATTCCGTTGAGATGTGTGAGGTGTAGTTTCCTAGGACAGAATGCGACTTTTTGCGTATCGCAGCTCGAAACATTTTTCGCTTCGGGAACTCCAAGGGCCGTATCCTTCCTTCTCCCGGAGGGGCGCGTCGCCGCCGCTGATCCTATCCTATGGTTGGGGGAGACAGGACCAGCCATACTCTGCGTTTCTAGACTCCAGACAGCGCGACCCTCAGAGAAAGAGTGCCTCAACAGGGGAGGGTAGCTACAACATCACGCGTTCAATGGCGGGTCCTATGACGCAACCCTGTCTCCCCCAAGCTTAGGATAGAATCAGCGGCGTGGGACGCGTCAAATCAAGGATAGGATACGGCCCCTGCTCCACTCATGATAAGCAGTAGACCTGAGGTTCCTGCTGTCCTAGCGATCCACATCCAAGATGTGTTTTGAAGTAGCTCGACAAGGCATGCACAACTTCTTTCATTCAGGGATTTCTTTGGGCGTTTCGGTCTCATCCTGGGCCTCTCTAGTGATTCTACATATCTTGTCATGTTGCGTGCTAATCCAGCTCGAGCAGTTGTCGTGATATACTTTCTTCTGCTGTCTCCGGAATTCGCAGTTCATGTAAAGCCTTATTCTTACTACAGTTCTGTTCCTTTTTCATTTATTATTTACAATTCTAGCGAAATCATGTAGTTATACGCGAGTACACTATGGCAACGAGACTGCGCATGTACTTCCATCCATCCAATCGTTTCATATCTACATTCGTGTATAATGAGTAAGTTGACGTTGTATCATATCCTTTTTTATATGTTAAAAATTGTGAGACCTTTTTCGTTACAACTTCGATTCTAGGTCGCACTTCCAGTCCGCGATGATGAGTGGGCTTTCTGAAGCTTCAGTATTTCATGTTTACACATTGTTCCCTCAGTACTCTCTCTGTCTTCGTTTCACTTCTTCAGCTACTATTGTATGCCGTGAAAAACCAAAACGGAACTCAACCATGAAAAAGTAGCACTTTATTATGCCTCTTTTCGTGAATTTCAAATTAAGTCTCCTTCGATTAGAACTTTTTTTCCGTTGAGATGATTCCTCCATTTCA